GGTATTGGACATATAGTGAAGTAATTCACATGAGTACAAAAAGAGGAAGAAGGGCCAGTTGTGTGTGTAGTAAGTCCCGGTTAGCTCACTCATTATTTTACATTTATAGTTGTATTGCCAACAATATTACCACTCTAAGTCCTAAATAATGGCCATAAATAATAAAGTAACAGAGTATATTTAAAGTCCTTTAAATATACTCTAACATATATATTATTACTATATAGCCGTTGTTTATGATATGTTTCTTCTTTATGGATAAAGTGACATTATGGGATCAAGATTATTTCATAGCCTGGGATGGATAGTATTTCGGATATGAAAACTGATTTTGACTGATTTAAAATAAATTATGTCTCCTGTTCAGAAGGTAGTTTTTTTTCATATACAACTGCATAAAAAGTTTGTTGCTGGGTTAGACATGTATGTGCATACATGCCCATCATACTATTTCCTTTCAGAGTAAATACATTAATGGATTAATTAGCATTTGATATAAAAATTAATTGGCTGACATTTTACTAATTGGGTGCAAAAAAAGATTCACATACAAAGGAAATCTTTGGAATTTTGCCCTCCATCTTAAGTTATGTAAGTGGGTAGCTGTTTGATTATTTTGCTTGTACCATTGTAGGAAGGACAAAAAAAAAACAAAAAACCTCATACCATCCCAAATCTGATTATACTTCTCAAACGTGAGATTTTAAGCACCTCTTTGTGAGCTACACACCTTCCCAATGAGGGCATAATCCAGCCAAAAGAAAATTTCCAACTGATCTAACCGTTCTGCTTTTGTGCTTCTGATAGCAACTTGAAAGACTTTCTATGGCAGTGAGATAAATATTATCTGATTCCTGCATAATGAGCACTCTTAAGGAAATAAGGAATAATTATGGAAAACTGTTTAAAAGCTGGCAATCTACAGTAAAGTTTTTTTTTAAAAAAATGTTTTTATTATTTTTCCTTTAAAAACAAAAACAGAAACAAACATGAAACATATATTTCCATTTTACAACAGTTTCATATCTGTGCTTTTCTAAAGTTCATGTTTTTTCCCCTCCCCTTCTTTACATATATTTATATTTGTGGTCCCCTTGTTTCTTATTTATATATATAGTTCTTTATCTGTTATACATATTATTGTATATATATTACTTTACACACATTATCTGTTTAGTGGCATTTTGGTAATTCTTACTTACTATTCCTGACCTCTAACCATTTATACCATTTATTCCATATTAGATAATATTCTGTTTCATCTTTTTCTTTTATCTCTTTAGTTAATTTGTCCATCTCCACACAATCCAAAACTTTTCTTATCACCTCTTCTTCTTTTGGTATAATGTTACTTTTCCAATTCTGTGCATATGTTAGAATAGAATAGAATAACAAAGTTGGAAGAGACCTTGGAGGTCTTCTAGTCCAACCCCTTGCCCAGGCAGGAAACCCTACACCACTTCAGACAAATGGTTATCCAACATCTTCTTAAAAACTTCCAGTGTTGGAGCATTCACAACTTCTGCAGGCAAGTTGTTCCACTTACTAATTGTTCTAACTGTCAGGAAATTTCTCCTTAGTTCTAAATTGCTTCTCTCCTTGATTAGTTTCCACCCATTGCTTCTTGTTCTACCCTCAGGTGCTTTGGAGAATAGCTTGACTCCCTCTTCTTTGTGGCAGCTCCTGAGATATTGGAACACTGCTATCATGTTTCCCTTAGTCCTTCTCTTCATTAAACTAGACATACCCAGTTCCTGCAACTGTTCTTCATATGTTTTAGCCTCCACTCCTCTAATCATCTTTGTTGCTCTTCTCTGCACTCTTTCTAGAGTCTCAACATCTTTTTTACATCGTGGCGACCAAAATGTTATTCTGGCTGCCATTATAATATGTAAAATTAGATATTGTATTTTTTTGGTATATTTTCTGGAGAGTATTCCCAATAAAAATAATTCCAGTTTCCAGTCTATATGTTGTTCAGTTATCTCTTCAAGCCATTTTTTTATTTTAGTCCAATATTTTTTTGTAGATGTGCACGTCCACCATAAATGATAGTATGTTCCATAAGATTTTTTACATTTCCAACAAATCGGGGATGTATTTGGAAACATCTTGGTGTGTGTCGCTGGTGGGAGATGCCATCTATAAAACATCTTGTACTGGTTTTCCTTGTATGCCGCTGACGTGGTCAATTTCACATTTGTTTCCCACAATTTTTCCCAGTTCTCCAGTTCTATACTGTATCCAAAATTTTTTGCCCAGCTTATCATTGTCTCTTTGACCACCTCATCTTCCATCTTATATCTCAGTAATCTACAGTAAAGTTAACCAACTGCAAGTTGTCTTTTTAAGCTCATGGATGTATTATGATTCCATTGTAAGATCCATTGAAATTCCTTTTTAAAAAATGGTGGTTGGATAAAGAAATAAATTGGCTGCAAAGTAACAAGCATTCAGATCCCCAACTGCACACATTAGGTGGGTTTCAATTTAGTTTGCTACCGGTTTGCTCGTGCGTGCTCATGTGCGTGTGTGATGCTTCTCCGCATGCATAGAAGTGTCCAGGCGGTAGCAACCCACCATTGATTGTAGGGATATGTTCAGAAAACACTCAGCAGAAGAGCTTTGGAGATTGCATAAGTGCAAACCTCTGTGCTACTAATTAAAACCAAGTCTTTCTAAGTATACAGGAACCTGAAAAAATGCAGCTGTTTTAATGAGTCAGCATATGCAGCTTTTAAATCAACCACATGATTATTAGTCAGCCCAGCTCAAATTTGGAGATGCTGGGAAGAAAACATTTCCAAAGCCTTCATGGGCATAATACTAGCACTTAGACTTAACAGTATACTGCTCCACAATGCTTTACAGCACTCTTTGAGTGGTTTACAAATGTCAGCCTATTGCCCCCAACTCTCTGGGTCCTCATTTTACCAACTTCGGAAGAATGGAAGGCTGAGTCAACCTTGAGCCCCATCAAGATTGAGGCTGTGAGCAGAGTTAGCCTGCAATACTGCATTCTAACCATTGTGCTACTAAATCTGCCTGGGAATTTACTTATGCATGTTTTTAACCCTCACTGGTGGTTTTTGCTTCTTTCCAGTTGTGTGAATTGCAAGGTACTTAATCACTTTTAATGCATGCACAGCCCTGAATGCAGTGGATCCTACCTATATACGAGATCGCCTTCTGCCACTGATAGCTTCCCACCGGCCAATACGCTCCCACAGAGAGGGGCTCCTCAGGGTGCCGTTGGCCAAACAATGTCGACTGGTGACACCCAGGGGGAGAGCCTTCTCTGTGGGGGCACCAGCCCTCTGGAATGAGCTGCCCCTAGAGGTTTGTATGATCCCCGACCTGCGTACCTTTTGCCGCGCCCTAAAGACTCTTTTATTCCAACAAGCTGGGCTGGCCTAATAGGAATTTTAAATTGGGTGTCTGTTAGCTTTTAATTTTGTGGGCCAAATTTTTATATATTTGTTTTTAAATTGTTTTTAAATTTTGTAAGCGTATATGTGTTTTAAGGTACACAACCCTCAGTCCTTTGGGAGAAGGGCGGTATAGAAGTGTAATAAAATCTAAATCTAAATCTATCTATGTCTGATTTAAATCTCCCAGGACCAGCTGCGCATCCAAGATTAAATGGCTGTTGCTTACCAAGAGGTAAGTAAATAGGCAAGGAGGAAAGATAAGCCTTCAAGGGATTTTGAGTATCTTTCTGAGATTTAATTTAGGATTTCATTGAATGCTGGGCCAGAAGATAAACTCTTTCCTTGTCAGTAGTAAGGAGTTCATACCGTTTTTTGACTATAGGTTTAGCCCCGCCCCTTTGTGACATTTTATTTACTTTTTTAGCCCCTTTTTTAGCCCCGCCCCTTTGGTGACATCTTTGTTTATGTTTTCAGCACCACCCCCTTTTGTGATGTCACAACACCCCCACCCTTTTGTGATGTCACAGCACCCCCAGCCCCTCCTTACCTTGGAGGACTATGACGTCATAACCAGTGCCCTTTACCCACAAGCCCTTTTTATCGGAAGTACTTTTACATCATGGTGAGCCACTCCCACTTGACCCATAAACCTTCTCACCGGTAGTGCGGAGACAATACCACACACCACCACCCCCTCTCTGAACCGGGGGCCTTTCACCCGGAACTGTTGAAACAGCAAACACGTCTGACCCAGAAGTCCTTTCAGTTTGATACATTAATTATGCATATGAGGCTCTTCTCATTGGTCCATATTTGCAGAGGCGGAGCTTGACAGTAGCAGCCTATGAAGTTGTTTCTCTGATTCAGAGGCGCTTCCCATTGGCTGAAAGAAAATGATTGACATGCCGAGCACATGGAATAGGCTAACCCGCCCTGAAAGGCTTCCCATTGGCTGAAAGAAAATGATTGACATGCCGAGCACATGGAATAGGCTAACCCGCCCTGAAAGGCTTCCCATTGGCAGAATCAAAATGATTGGCAGGACGAGCACATGGAAGAGGCTAACCCTCCCTGAAAGGCTAACCATCGGCAGAATCAAAATGATTGACAGGCCGAGCACGCGGCCTTCTATTACAAAAAAGCAGAAGCATTTCTGAGCTTCAAACCCCACAATAATATATTTACGCAGACCAAGAAGTAAAAAGCATTATCAAAAAGCAGACTTGGAGCCTGTTTGCAGGTGTAAAGTTTGGAAGCTGAACACATCCTTTTCTTTGTTCTCAGAGGATTTTACATTTGCAGAGGTGTAAAAATAAAATTACTATTTTTGCAAAGAAAGCCCTTTTTGTATGCAAAATGTTTTTATTTTTATATATTTCCGAAAGGTTTGGGTAACGGGTAGGGCTAGAAGGCTGGAAAAATAAAATTAAGAGAAAGAATAAAGAATAAAAACATGAGGTTATGCGCATGCTCTGTATGTTACAAGAGGCCCCAGGGCGTGTTGGGGCATGCCCCAGGGAGGGGGGTGGCCTGCGGTCATGCGCTGCGTATATGGATGCTAGATAACGGGAGGAGCGATGAGCGTGATGGCACGTGCGACAAGCTTGTTTATGGCATGTTCTGACAGGTCCCAGGCGTGGCCTGTGGTTCACAGCCTGATAAAAGAGGGCCTCTGCAGAAGGGCGACAATTCAGCCGCTTAAAGCCTAGGCCTCGTTTAATAATATGGGGCAAGACGAAGGAAATAATAAAAAGGTTGTAGACCCTTCTACATCATGGCCCGCGGCAAGGCCTATTCTGAATGACTGCCACAAAATATGTTGTACAATGTTTGATGAAGACTTACAGGACTTCAGGCCTATTTTGTTTGGATGCCGTCTATCATGCTGTAATGTACGGGATGTCATAGAACGTGAAGACGTGAACGATCACACCAGGTCTTACCTGTCACGATGGGGAATGACTAAGAGATGCTCTTTATCACCGGTCCAAGGAACAGGCCTGAGTAAGTAAAAAATTGGTTATATATTCAAATGTGTAATTCAGGATAACACTGTTACCATCATGATAGGTAATGAATTAATATATTTTCCAGGTTCTGTACCGGGTTATAGTCACAACAACAGTGACCCCTTAATGTTAAACTTATCAACCGATGAAGAGTCTGCAGAGGGCCACTTAGGTAAATGAAACTAAATTGACTTTTTACTACAGCTATTGATGACAACTTTATATAATAAATGGAGAAAGTTGCTGTTAGATTTAGTAATGATATATTTTTTATATTTAATCAGAAAGGTCCCAAGGATATAAACATGACAAGAGTCTGGTTTTTTTAAGAAGCATCTCAAGTGAGGAAGAATCTACAGAGGAGAGAGGTGATTGTCAGTGCCCTACGAAGACCATTACCAACGTGCCTACGGCGGATGTTAATAATGGTATTAATGAGGCGGTTCTGAAGCTTACCGAATACCCCGTTTGTCTACCAGAGGATGTAAATAAAGACATTACAAATGTAGTTAACATTGCTAAAGTATGTGAATGTGGGCGTGTTGGTTGTATTTGTGAGGTGACTACAGAATTTGAAGATAGTGATGATGATGATGATGATGATGATGATGATGATTACTATAGCTCTACTAGTGATGAAGGTTATTATTCTGCGAGTGAAGAATGGTAAAGGATATGTAAATTACAAATAAAAGGCTTGTGCTAAAGAGCAAAGTGTATTTATTGTAAGGAGCGAATGGTGCAGAATGAAGTATGAAAATATTCTAAAGGAGTTGTATTATACACCCGAATGCACAGGCAGTTATGGAGGTGTAGACCCACTATTTAAGGCAGGACGGAAACGCATTAAAAACCTAACCTTGAAACGTGTCAAGACATGGCTTTCCGGACAAGATACATATACTCTTCATAAGCCTGCAAGAATAAATTTTCCTAGGAACGCAACAATAGTTTCTTGCATTGACTGTCAATGGCAGGCAGATCTTGTGGATTTATCAGGATTTGACTCTGAAAACAACGGTTTGAAATTTATTTTAACAGTGATCGATGTACTTTCGAAATATGCCTGGGCTGTCTGTTTACTTGATAAGTCAGGACGGGGGGTGTCCGAAGCCTTCCAGACCATCTTCCAATCAGGAAGGGCCCCCAGAAAGTTACAGACAGATGCTGGAAAAGAATTCCTAAATAAGCCTCTGAAGACACTTTTGGAGCGTTATGGCATACACCATTTTGTCACACATAGTGAAACTAAAGCGGCTGTTATAGAGAGGTTTAATCGAACTCTGAAAAATAAACTCTGGAGACATTTTACAGCTAAAAATACTCATAGGTATGTGGATGTTTTACCGGCTCTCATGCAGGGGTACAATGGCTCTTACCATCGCAGTATCAGGACAGCCCCCAACATGGTGAAACAATCTAATGAAAAAGACGTGTGGCTACGGCTATATGGAAAAAGTTTTAAAGCAGCCGGAAAGTTAAAAACCTTTAAGGTGGGGGATCACGTTAGAATATCCAGACTAAAGGGCAGGTTTGAAAAGGGATATCATCAAACCTTTACAGATGAAATTTTTATTGTCAAAGAACGGGTTCAGAGGGGTGAAAGAGTTGTATATAGATTAATGGATTATGCAGAGGACCCCGTACAGGGAACTTTTTACCCAGAAGAGATGCAAAAGATTCCTAGCGAACAAGAACGTGTCTACAGAATCGAGAAAATAGTCAGGAAAAGAGGTAGGGGAAAACAAAGAGAATATCTAGTTAAATGGTCTGGGTGGCCGGAGAAGTTCAACAGTTGGGTTAAGGAGTCCGAAGTGTGGCACCTTTGACATGGCTGGTTTTTATATTACACTGCCCAGCAATGCATCAGCAGCTGCATTTCCCAACAACAAAAGTTCCAACTTTACTATTCGACTAGCAAAAGTGTTGGAGCTTCCAGGATCATGGGAGGTAGGACTGGTTGAGTTACAATATCCGCACACTTGGAATACATTAAATGCAAAGGAATATTTTGAAATCGCTAATGAGAGAAAAAAATGGCAGTTTCCTTTAAAAGCTGGTCACTATGCAACCATCCAGAAAGTAATAGAAAATATGAACACGGTTATGACAGAAGACGAAGACCCCCCAGAAGTAATCGTGAAGTATGATGCAATTGGACGGAAAATCAGACTTAAAGGAGAGGGTCCCTACAGCATCCTAGTCACTGAAGGCCTTGGAAAAATATTAGGATTACAGCCACATGTACGTACCAAAAAAAGCAACTTTGTCACGGACATTACAGGAGGATTCAACACGCTGTATATTTATACAGATATTGTAAGCCCGCAGATAGTGGGTGACTTCTATGTGCCGTTACTACGTTGTTTACCTGTGCAGGGTAAGGACAACGAAATAATCACGACGACCTACGAGCAGCCGCATTATGTTACCGTCAACAAACATTATATTGATACGATTACTGTAGAAATCAAAACGGACCAGAATGAAAACATAGCTTTTAACCATGGTAAGGTCGTTGTTAAGCTTCATTTCAGGCCTCAGAAAAGTGAAGGATGGTCGTGATAAAGAAGTGCGGGAGTCCTCAAGCATATGTAGACTATTACAGGGCACAGGCTGGAAACGGGCTGCCCGGTTTCCGTGGAGCCCCCGTTATGTATGGTACCGGTATAGGGGGCCTGTTTCGGGGTCTTTTTCGAAAAGCAATGCCGTTACTGAGGAGAGGCCTAGAAATCATTAAACCTCACGTAAAAGCGGCGGCTAATAATATTGCCAGAGACGTGTCAGGACAGCTTGTATCACGTGTTATTGGGCAGGGGGGATCTGGCATGGCAGTGATCAGGAAGAAACGGCCTGTTGGCCCGCCCATGCCTCCTAAAAAGAGGCGGGTTGTTAAAAAAACACGTCATACAAAGAGGAAACGTACACAAGGAAGGAAGCGCGGTGACAAACAGAACATCTTCTAAGATAAAATGGCATTTATCCACGAGGCTTCAGAGGAATGTGTCAAATCAGAGCTAGATCTTTTTCAATTGGCGCCTACGCAAACTAGCATTGAAAACTGCACATACATCGAGATCCCCCCTTTATCAGCGCTGACTCCCAATGCCCCTTTGGAATTTTTTATAACGGGACATGGCGATCATTACACGGATTTAAACAATACTCTGCTGTATGTGAGCTGCAAGGTTGTGAAGGCTGACGGCACGGATATCGATGACGGAGCAAGAGTGAGTCTTGTCAACTACCCCATAGCGTCACTGTTCAATCAGGTGGATGTTACATTAGGCGATCGTGTGATTACACAGAGTCACCACTGCTATGCTTACAGAGGCCTTATTGAACTTATTCTGAACTACAGCGGAGATGCTTTGGGGACCCAGTTTTCAGCGGGTGGCTTTTACAAGGATGATGCTACGCTCATGGAGAACACCTTGCTGACAGCCGCCGGTAACTCTGGTTTCAGAGCACGAGCTAGACATACAGCTGGCAGTCGTAAATGGGATCTGCTAGGCCCTTGCATAGCGATCTGTTTTTTCAAGACAAACTATTGATTAACGGTGTGGATGTGAACATTAAACTCTCAAGAAGTAAAAATGAGTTCTGCCTGATGAGGGATGGTAATGAGAATTACAAAGTACAGATCCTGGCAGCGTCTCTCTTTGTAAAGCGTGTAAAAGTATCACCTGGTGTACGGTTAGGACATGCGGAGGCTCTGCTGAACTCCAACGCCAAATATCCTATTGACCGTGTTGGTATGAAAGTTTACAGCATTCCTGCAGGCAGTCTTGTGTGTAACCAGGAAAACCTATTTCTAGGGCAGTTACCTAAACAATTAGTGATTGGTTTCGTGGACAATGCCGCATTTAGTGGTGATTATGAAAGAAATCCTTTCAATTTCCAGCACTATAATGTCAACTTTTGTGCCCTGTATTGTGACGGTGAACAAATTCCTGCTAAACCGCTGCAGCCTGATTATGAACATAACCTTTTTGTGAGAGAATATATGCAATTGTTACAGACGTCTGGCAAAGCAATGAAAGATCGATCTGTGCTAATCAACCGTGAGGAATTTAACAATGGCTATACTTTATATTGTTTTGATTTGAGCCCCGATCAAGGCTGCTCAGAGCACTATTCCCTGATCAAGAACGGAAACCTCAGAGCAGAAATTAGATTTGCTGTACCTCTCCCCAATACCGTCAACATGATACTCTATGCAATCTTTGAAAATCTTATTGAAATAAGCCACACAAGGAATGTATTGTTTGATTATATGTGAGGATGGATACCATGCAGATACTACGTGTGTTGTCTGGAAATGCGTTCTTTCTAGGCGTATACCCCAGTGATTTGTTACCCAAGAGAAAAATCTCCAAGAGACCTTTCGGTTTAATTGTAAATACCCACCCCCATACTCTACCTGGTGAACACTGGTTGGCGCTCTACTTTCCAACACACAGCAATGGTGAATTTTTTGACTCTTACGGAAGAGCTCCAGACGACTCTGACTTCCCCGTTGGCATCGTGAGGTTTTTAGAACTGCAAGCTAAGAAGTACACGTATCAACCGCTTCAACTGCAGCATCCCCTGGCAATAACCTGTGGACAGCATTGCTTATTTTATCTTGTTAAACGCTTTAAAGGGCTACCTTATGAAGATATTTTAAAGCTATATTCTGTCAAAGATGTCAGAAATGATCAAATGGTGAAGCATTTTGTAGTAAATATGATGCCTGGAAGGGCTTCTGGAACGTGCAACAATTACCAATGTATGCAAACATGTATGGTACATAATAAAATAAACACTAAACGTTAAAAATATTGCATGTTTCACAGTGTTTTATTTGTTTACAATTGGAGCCAGTCACCAAAATTTAGAACACTTTTACGGTCTGACATAGAACTTGCAGCAGGTGCAGACATAGCAGAGATTGGTTTTGTAGAACTTACAGTCTTAATACTTCCTGCCTCTTTCAGCTTTTCGAGTTGCTCTTTAACAACGTTAGAACCTAGCAATACTGTTGGTACATTCATCTCAGCCATTGCAGACATAAACTCATTCCATCCCTTAGGATAATATTTCGCAGTACGCATCCGGTGTTGAGAAACCCCTTTGACCAGATCTACAATGTTAGACCCCGGCACCTTTGTACCCTTGTAGGAAACGGTTCCATAATCATCCCAACCCAAAATGTCTTGATGTTGTTTCATTTTGTTCAACAAAAGAGAAGCATTTTTCTTGTATCGCGTGCTCACACCCTCTAATATCTCCTGCGTTGTTGGATCCAGCGGCGAGAGAGGTGGTGTCTGTTCTGGTACAACAGGTGTTTGTTTAAATGCCTCTGGAGGCTGAATGAGATTCAGAATACCTTTCTCAGAGTCGTTTTGTCTGGTCAGCCTTAGAAATCTCTGCAGCACTGTGTTGTATAGTTTTATCTTGTCATCTTCACTTAGATCAGGTCTCTGAAGAACGGCCCGCATGTCATCGTCCAACCGGCTAACGGTAGTGGCACCTATTGTAGGTGTCTGACCGCGTAGCTGCTCCATCTCACGCCTCGACACCAAATACATTTTCTCTGCGTGCTCCATGTTTACTGCACTAATAAATTAGTCAGCAATGGTATAGCGGCCCCTAGTAATGGTGCTATAAAACCACCTGACTGAAGAATAACCTGTTTCTTCTTTTTCAGAGAGAGCTTACTATCACTCAGTTTTTTAATACAGTCTTTCTTTCTCTTTAAATTCCGATATTGTGAAGGCTTCAGAGGCAGGTTACCTTTTAAAGTGTTCAGGGCTATTTCGGCTATGGCCCCCACCAGGTCATTATTAGCATTGCATAAGATGGCTTTTCTCTGTTTCGGGCCTGCCTTTACTAAGATTTTTAATAACCCCCAATTTCTGCGCAACCTCTCAGACATCCTGTATGAACTGTGCGCCCTCCAGATACAGCTGTTACTTTTTACTCTTCTTTTTCACAGTGTAAACTACCGGCCATTCAGGGGGGTAAATGCCAGTTCTCAGCCTAAAGTTTTCTGGAGTAGTGGCAGCCAGATCAACTAAAAGATAACCGTGAGGTTTGCTAGTGGCATCTTGGAATACTTCTAAAAAGTACCGCGTGTTAGACGGATACATTTGACGTGCCAATGTGACTACTTGCATCTGATCACGGGGGCTGCGGAATAACACCAAATATTTTGCATTTAGAGTTATTGTTCTCATTTTCTTACCTTGAAAAAACAGGTTTTGAAGTATGAGAATAATGCTAAGGTTTTTGTGATGAACATACTGTGTAAAAGCTTTCTCTATTTGCTCGCTGTCACCGGCGGCTGCCATGAGATCGTCTACAACCGCTAAATTGGTTTGATTTGTTGGAAACAAGTCAGTAGCTTCAAAAGAGTCAGGAAGGCCCTCCATAAACTTAATATTAGGAAATTTATTAAGTAATTCATTGTACAGAGGTTGCCAACAGCTATAAAACCATATAACGTTTTGAGGCATTTCAGATAATACATGCTCACCGTGTTCTAACATTTGTTTTATAAAATAAGATTTTCCCGAATTGGAAGGACCGCTTATAATACATGAGAAAGGATGTACAAACGATGCCCTGTTTTTCATCATAATTAATAACCGTAAGGTAACGTACAATAATCCTCTGTTTTGAGCACCCTTTTATTATAGACAACTTTTAGAGTTTTTCTGAGTACCCGGGTTTCCAGAGCCCACTGTTTCTTAATCCTAACAATTCCCGGCTGCTGGATCTTGATCTCTTTCTTTTCCTCACCTTCTGATTGGCAATATTCATCAATCAGATCTTTCAGACTTTCAAAGTTAACCTTAACACAGTTGGAACTGTTTAACGTTATACCCTTCACCTTTAACACAGTAGAACCATTTGACAAAGCATAACCATAGGTTTTTGGACCAACCGCCACAAACTCGGTGATGGAAGTGTTTGGAGGAATCTCGCTTGTCAGCTGCCCTAAATAATCACCTAATGCCGGTGACCACGCCCCCTCTCGGCTAATAAAAATGACAGAATCAGTATCGTGATAGAGACATCTGTCCCCCAAACGATCCAATAACCTGTATAATTCTAGCCGTGCATAAGCAGTTGTAAAACAAGCAATGAACAAGTTTGTACACGTTGACTTAGTAGGATGTTTTTTGGCTGTTTTCCATGTTACAATGGCTGTTTCATCATCCACAAATTCGCAAGAGGACACTTCGTAATGGGGGACAAAAAGATACTTAAATAATTCCTCAGGTTCTGTCACCACCGATGTAGTCAGTTGAGTGGTACTCTGGCCAAATTTACCCCACAAGGAGTTTAAAAACAGTTTAGCAATCTGTCTTTTAGCAGGATTGACTTCAATGCGCTCCTTGCGTAAACGGACCCCTTCGTTCTTTTCATAATCCCGAACGTAACGCTCTTTATCTTCCTCTGTTTTGCACCAGACGGGGTAGCCGCTAGCCTCCTGTTTTTGACGGAGATGCATGTTAATATAACCAGAAAACAAGGTTTTTGACTTCCTTTCAAAATGCCAAACTTCATAGATCTCTGCAATTCTGTAACCTTTCTCCACAGCGACATTCAATTCTACAGTACACCACGTTCCAGTTAGGGCTCTTTCTTCATCATTGTGGAGACACTCTGTGACTTGTTGTTTTTCTGTACAAGTTGCACACAGACTAAACATTAATTTGCCACCAGACTTATATGGCAGCACTGGAAAGTAGAGACCCCTTGGTGTGTACACTTTAACTTTAGCAAATCCAAAATACTGTTTTATATCCCCAAAGTTTTGGTATATTATTTCTGGGTGCCCTGTCGGGTACAGCTTGTTCTTGTTCACAAAGGGATATAAACTTGTAAAATCATAATATAAGATTTGCTCCCCCTGTTTTGGTTTATAGTACAGACATGTAGCATTTGTTCGGCCCCCAAAAAAAGCATCTCTGGGGTTCAAGGGTGTTGGAAAATTACTATCTACTAGAAAATGTTTCAATCCCTCATTGTTCTTCAACATATCATTCCACTCGTGTTCCCAGATGATGCGTACTACATACCCCAGGCTCTTCAGGTATTCTTCTCTCGCCCTAGTGCGTGAGTACAACAGGCCGTAGGTTGAATCAAGCAGATTGTTGAAGTCTTGAGCCTTGTAGCATATAGGGCATCCGTGAAAAAAACAACCATAAAATTCAAAAGCGGTGGGGGACCCGTTTATGACAGCAAACCCATCCAAAAAGTAAACACCTACTTGCTTTTCTCCGCCTTGCAGAGCGTGTTGGATGTTTATACCCTCGGTATGCTCTATATACATCAGCCATTGTACAGAGCATGCAGAATAGCTTTTCTTGCACTTCTGGTAATTGTCCAGAGGTGCTAATGCTACGTTATCCTTCTTCAAAAACATGAAACGGTACTGCGCCATACAAATAGATGCTAATGTTACATATTGAAAAGGATCAATGCAACGAATTTCGGACTCTTCAAGAATATCGCCACCACGGCCTGTGAAAAACTCCCTTTTTGTCATTTCCATCACTTGCTCCCTAAACCTGTTACAAGCATCTCTCAGTATCTTAACATCTTGTTTGCAGTAGTAAGCAAGATCTTTTTTGAGGTTAAATGTTGTACCTTTATTAGCAGCATGCCATTTCTCAAATTCCTCTTTTTCCCCAGGCATCATGGTGTCAGGGCTATAATATTTGATATCCGGCAACGTCCCCACATAATCTTGATTCTCTGCAGTATTGAACAAATGAGGGAAATAACCCTTGGAGCCTTGAAAGCCCATAGCTTTGGGTAATTTACTCAATTTCATGGGTAAAAAAGAAAGGCTATCGATAAAACGTATATGAAAGTGTGGTAGGGTTATGCATAGCAGCTTACCACCCTGAGTTAAGAGTTGTACCTTTACCTTTTCACGAATGAGCTGCCTGAGGACTAGGTATCCATCATAACTCTTGGAGTTGTGAGCTATGAATGTGACCCCTTTAAACTTAGGCTGTACAAAAGTTTTCACAAATTCCTCCAGACACTTATCACCGTACCATTCCCACTTCCTAACATCACCATCATCCAGCATGTCCATGGCATAGACATAGTTCGGTATGTGAGCCCCAGTTTCTTGACAACATTCAAAATCATACACAATGTACATGTAACCTACAACTGGCTTAAAAAGCCTTTTCAGATAACATAAGTGACCTGTCAGGCTGTCTACTTTGGCACCACACTGTCCACACTTTGTTTTCTTACATTCGACATGTGGTG